GGGGGGGGGGATAAGCGATGTGGAGCTGACAAGAACAAAAGAAAGGCCTGGAGCCTGCCTCTCCTCCGCAGCCGTCCCCTCCAGCTGGACCAGCCCCAGCTGCCGGGGGCTCCTGGCTCCTCTACAGACTAGAGATTTAGAAGGATTCACAGGGAGAAGCCACCCCTGGAAAGTGATGGCAGCCCCTCCTTCGCCTGTGCCTTTCAAGCTGAAGATGAGCGTTTCAGCTGTTCCCCACCCTACACACCCCACCCCACTAGTGCATACACCCAGGAAGAGGGCCACCAATTCCTGGTAAGGCGACAATGTGACCAAAAACAACTCCAGAGAAATGTCTTTGACTGCAGCAGCGATGGGAGAGGATCTGGCTTTCAGGAGCAACCCAATTTAAATAACTCAGCTCTCTCGCACTGCTTCATTTGCACAGCTCTCAAAAAGAGCACTCACAACGGAAGGCTGAATTTTCCTACTAACATGTGGAAAGAAAACATGAAAGCCAAGACAACTCAATAGGAGTCAGTCTGGATCTCGTAACCAGAGAGGTGCTCAGAGCTGAGTGACTCGAGTCAGTTACTGAGGACAGCCAACACAAAGTGGATTCTTCTCGAGAGATCCAAGCCCAGAGGCGGCACTGAAATACAAGAAACAAGATGGCTTCAACTATTCCCAAAAGAGTGAAAACGGGACAAAGAGAAGAAACAATTTAGTAGGAACTGAATATACCTATTCTTTGCTTTGCCCACTTGGTTTTACTAAATGAAAATGATGATGATGATGACATAGTGTTGAGTCAAAGAGCAGACTAACCACCTTTCCACAATAAATTAAGTAAAATCTGCAGTGTTTATTTCGGTGATGGCACAAAATAAGCTCAGGAAGTTATCTTGAATGCACATTTTACAACCATTATATTGCTCATTAGCTGTCAGCGTCCTGGACATGTCCCATATGTTGGCAACATGTTTTAGGATCCAGGATAGCTAACGATAAATGAAGTATGAGGATCTCTTGGAAAATTGCCTTCTAGCATAGCTGAATATTCAAGCGTTCCCTGTGTGCTCACAAATATGTGCATTGTACATGTATATGTGTGTGTGAGGAGCTAATTAGAAAAATGAAGTGTTGTAATTTGGGCTATTTTGCTGTTTTTTAAGTTGTTAAATTTATGCAAAATTTTTAAATGCAAATGTTTAAGTATACGTAAAGACAGCACTGTTAATATTGCTAGATAGCCCGGCCAGGCATGGCTCAGTGGTTGAGCGTTGACCTAGGATCCAGGCGATCGGGTGTTCGATTCCCAGTCAGGGCACATGCCCAGGGTTGTGGGCTTGATCAGTGACTCTCTCATCATTGATGTTTCTACCTCTCTCTCTCCCTCTCCTTTCCTCTCTCTGTAATCAATAAAGATATATTTAAAATATATATATATATTGCTAGATAGTTGTTGAGCAACATTGTAAATATACTAAATGCCCCAGGACTGTACCCCTAAAATGGTTAATCGCATGTTACGTAAATTTAACCTCAATTTTTTTTTTAATCCTCACCTGAGGATATTTTTCCCATTGCTTTTCAGAGAGAGTAGAAGGGGGAGAAACAGAGAGAGAGAAACATCAATATGAGACAGTCCCATCGATTGGTTGCCTCCTGAATGTGCCCCAACTGGGGCCAGGGATTGAGCCTGCAACTGGCCAAAATCGAACCCAGGACTCTTCAGTTCGGAGGCTGACTTTCTAACCACTGAGCAAAACGGCTAGGGCTCACCTCAACGTTTAAAAATTGCTAGAACAGTCCTGGCCGTGTAGCTCAGTTGGTTAGAGCATCGTCCCCATATGCCAAAGTTGTAGGTTCAATTCCCTGTCAGGGCACATATAAGAATCAACCAATGATTCTTCCTCTCTCTAAAATCAATTAAAAATAAATAAAAATGCTAGAACTAAATAACTTTTATTTTATTTTATTTTATTTATTTTATTTTATCCTGGCTGGAGTGGCTCAGTTGGTTGAGTGTCCTCCAGTGCACCGAAGGGTTGCTGGTTCGGTTGCCAGTTTGGTTGCAGGTTGGATTCCTGGTCAGAGCATGTACCTGGGTTGCAGATTTGATCCCCAGTGGGGAAGCCTATGGAAGGCAACCAATTGATCTCTCTCTCCCTTCCTTTCTCTAAGTATGTCCTCAGGTGAGGATTGATTTTAAAAATGTTTTTTATTTTAGTCTGTTATGCTAAGCCTTCTGAATATGCAAAATTCAGGTTAAAAAATTAATCTTATTGATATGAGTACAGTTGACTTCATTTAAACCTCAAATTTTCAAAAGCTGTGTACTATGTCCAGAAATTTATCTCTAAATAAACCTTTCATTAGTTTTAAAAAATAAAAAAATAATTTCAAACATACAGAGAAATTGCAAAAAATAAAAATGATGTGAAGAACCCAATACCCTTAGATTCGCCTACTTTAACATTTTACCCATTTGCTTTATCATGTTTCCTCACCCTATCTTTCAGTACATCACTAAGAACCTTCTCTTATATAATCACAGTACCCGTGTTAACTTCAGTATAGTTAACATTGATATCACGCTTTTATCTAGCTGCCATTTGTGTTTCAGTTTTGTCCTTTGTAGCATTTTCCCCTCCACTACAAGATCCAGTCCAGGGTCAGGTACTGCATTTAATTGACATGTCTCTTTGGCCTCCTTTAATTTGGAACATTTCCATAGTTTTTGTTTTTTATAACATTGACATTTTTTAAGATGTAGTTCCCCTAATAAAAAAAAATAACTTTTTTTTTTTTTAATCCTCACTCGAGGATACTTTTTCCATTGCTTTTCAGAGAGAGTGGAAAGGAGAGAAAAGCATTGATGTGAGAGAGAGGCATCAATTGGTAGCCTCCCGCAGACACCCCTACCAGGGCCAGGGATCGAGCCTGCAACGGAGGTTTGTGCCCTTGGCGGGAATTGAACCAGGACCCTTCAGTTCACAGTCCAGCGCTCTAACCACTGAGCAAACCAGCTAGGGCAATAAAAAAAACAAAACTTTTTGAGAAAGTGCTGACCTGTTTTACAAAGTGGTTTACCATTTTACATTGTGACCAACAAGGTTTGAATCCAGTTCCTCCACATCCTATCCAATGTCAGTCTTTTACATTTTAGTCTTTCTAATAGGTGTGTAGCGGTAGCTCATTAGACTCTTTTGCTGTATTTGTAGTTCCCTGATGACTACTGATATTGAGCAGGTTTTCATGTGCTTGTCATTCTTATATCTTTCTGGATGAATTATCTGTTCAAACCTCTTGCCCCCTTTTTACTCAGTTGTTTATTTTCTTAGAACTGGATAGTTTTGAATTCATTCTCGATACAAGTCCTTTATCTGTATAGGCTTTGCAAATATTTGCTCCCAGTCTGTGGCTTGTCTTTTCATTCTCCTAAAAATGTTCTTTGAGCCCAGCCTTCATGGCTCAGCAGTTGAGCATCAACCTATGATTCAGAAGATGGAGTTCGATTCCCAGTCAGGGCACATGCCTGGGTTGCAGGCTCAATCCCCAGTTAGGGGCATGCAGGAGGCAGCCCATCAATGACTCATCATTGATGTTTCTCTCTGTCTCACCCTCTCCCTTCCTCTCTCTGA